CATCATCATCACCACCATCATCACTATCATAATTATCACATCATCACCATCATTATCACAATTATCACCATCACCATCATTATCATCACCATCATCATCATCATCACCATCATCATAGTCATCATCATCATCATCACTATCACTATCATTATCATACCATAACCAGATGTATGTCTTACTCACCGGCATCGACAGTTAGATTGGCAGCATTACTTGAAGACGTCCTCATAGCTAGTTTATTCGTCGCAGTACACACATATTCCCCAGCGTCTGACCACTGTACATTTCTAATTTGTAATACGCCATTGTCTAATAAAGTATGTTTATTATTTGATGTTGTTAATGATATGTATGTTCCATCTTTTTGCTTGAATTTCCAGGTAATTTTTGCTTTTGGCATTGAATGCCGAACCCTACAAAGTAATCTTGCTACATCACCGAAAATGACTTGTTGTGATGCTGGTTCTAATGTGACTTTTGAAGACATACCTGTAAGAAGATCGAAAAGRAGAAATGTCATTATTATTAAATTACATTGAGTATGTCGTACATAGGTGTCATGCTTATCAAATATTATTAAGACGTAACAATATTGTTGCAAAAATATGGTAACTTCAGATATCTATTCCCCTGTAGTTCCACAAATATTCAAAATTCCACATGTAAGGGGGTTGGAGTTTCCAAGGGGAGGAGAGGATCTTAGGAGGGTCTATAGTGTAGTTCCAAAAATATCCATACCTCCCCCATGGAAGGGGACTGGAATTTCCAAAGGGTGGGGAGGGTCTGAGGAGGGTATATTGTGTAGTTCCAGAAAATATCCATACCTCCCCCATGGAAGGGGATTGGAATATCCAAATGGTGGGGAGGGTCTGAGGATGGTATATTGTGTAGCCTCAGAAAATATTCATATCTCCCCCATGGAAGGGGATTGGAATATCCAAACGGTGGGGAGGGTCTGAGGATGGTATATTGTGTAGTTCCAGAAAATATTCATAACTCCCCCATNAATATCCAAACGGTGGGGAGGGTCTGAGGATGGTATATTGTGTAGTTCCAGAAAATATTCATAACTCCCCCATGGAAGGGGATTGGAATATCCAAGGGGTGGGGAGGGTCTTAGAAGGTTATGTTGTGCAGCTCCAGAAAATATCCATACTTCCAAATGGAGAGGGTTGAAGTGGGAATGTTTATCTCTCCATGGAGTGGGGATGGTTTACAGATGGTTTACAGAAAATAACAGTACATTATGTAGTTCAAAAACTTACCAGCAACTCTTAGATGAGCACTTCTACTTAAAACTATATAATCTTGATTTCTAATGCGTGACGACGCACGGCACTGGTATCGGCCTTCGTCCGGCCGACTACTTTTAGTATGTGTAATACTACTAAAGTATAAAGAACCATCTGGAAGGATTCTTCTTCTCTTGTCACCCAACAACATCTCTGTACCATCATGAAACCACGATATCGTGGGTCGTGGAATTCCTTCAACAGAACAGTTCAGAACTGCTGATCTCTTCTTTATTACTATAATATCTGATGGTTCTTGAGTGAAATATGGAGCTATATTACCAGATGCTCCTGTGGAAATAATAAGGAATTATTAGATTACAGTCCAACAACTGTAACCAGGGACACTTAGACAGTTAGACAAGAGAACCAATTAAAATGTGGAATGAAAACAATGCATTTGTAGGTAGTACATAACACAAAATTAGACTCCTGCATATTTGGTAAGCAATATATAATATTCGTGTCTAATCTGTATTGGCTTTAGAGGAACTAATACCAAGAAGCACTGGTGGCATGCGCTGCTAATGCRCCGCCTCTCACCAATGGGGCCCGAGTTCGAGTCCTGCCGATCTCGATGTCGTATGTGAATAGAGTTGTTTGTTGATTCTCTCCTGTGCTTCAAGGGTTTTTCTCCGGGTTCTCCAGTTTTCCTCCCTCCTCAAAAATCAACTTCTAAATTCTAATTCGATCTTTGGGATTTCACTTAGTTTGGAGCCTTGCTCTGTTGTGAATGTCCCACGCTGTGATACAACAGCGAAAAGCTTTGTAGATTTTAGATTTTATAGACCAATACCAATACAGATTGTATAGTTCCAGAAAATATCCATATATATCCCCCCCCCCCCCATGGAGGGAATTTGTAAAAGGATCCCCTACTCTGCAACTTCCAAATTTCTTCCATACAAACTCTGTAATATTGTTCTTCCACTGACCCCCACCCCCTAGGAATTCCCGATTTCCTCCATGGGCGGGGTAAGAATGTTTTCGGGAACTTTCATCATACACACCTAATTCAAAAACCTTGTCTGGTTCAAAAAAAGGTTATATCAAAGCTAAGACCAAAGGGGAGCATATAGGAAGACTAACAATTATGCTAATTTCATGCGTATTGTAGTTTTCCCTTCCTGTGCACATTTTATGCATCATGGCTTTGGCATGTTGTTAATCTAGGTCAACCGACTTTGCTCTACTGTGCATTTTTACATGTCATATGCAAATATAATACACATTTGGGAGTACCCAAAATCCTTTTCGGTCTTAGCTTCGATGATATGACCTTCTCGAACCTGACTACATTACGTTTTTTCAATTAGGTGTATATTGCATATTGGTTTCCCCATTATTGTATTACATGATCATGAAAGAGATATAATAAATTGAGAATTTGATGAATGTATTTTGATTGTATTTTGATCAAACAACTAATGGGCTGATCAAAGTCATGACACTGCATGCTAACCCACAGATAGAACCCTGAAACAACCTCTGGGCTGATCTAAGTCAGGGCACGGCTAACCCACAGATAGAACCCTGAAACAACCTCTGGGC